AAAAATAAAAATACAAAATAAATATATTTTTAAAATAATTATAAGTTTTTTTAATTGTATTTAAAAAAAATACATCGTCTATCAAGACTACCGCATTCAAAACCAAAAAATCTAACGTGGCTTTAATCTATAATACAAGTTTCACACACAAAATCAGAAACATTGTAGTTTAAAAATAATTTTGGAAATAAATGTTTTTATTGACAGCCCGATTCCACAGCAGAGAAACACTTGTTGAAGTAGATGTCATCGATGTAATATAGCCCCTCTCTCTTAGCACCACACCCACCAATCTTTTCGCTGCTGATATCCTGGAAAAGACAAGAATATGAATACTACATTAATACTGTACGACTTTAAATCCTTTGCCGATGCTTTGAAAGAAGATAATTGAATAGAAAAGGAACTGATAATGCTTGGTCTGGTGATAAAGTAGAAGTTAAAGCAATAGTTCCAGATTTAGTGACCAGCATAGAAACACTGTTGACATTGTTAACATGAGAACAAAGAGTTGGTTTTGGAAAAGAGTTTGTATGAAGAATATCACTTCTGACATGGTAGTATATATCATCCAATCTTGACAAGAATATATATACACGGATTTTCTTTATCAGTCCCCTTCTTTCGTGTTCTACGATCATTTTCATCATCAATCTTGACATGAATATAGATCCATATTGTGTTGCTGAATTTATTGACTCAATCATATTGATAAAAGATGGTCAAATCAGAGAAATACAGGAGTAATGCGACAACAAATGGCGTGAAGATTATAGTTCTACAAACAAGCAACAGTGCAACGAAACAATAGTGAGAATAACAGAAAATTCAGCTGGAACACCAGCGAAAACAATAGCAAAACATTGGAAAAAAATAAAAATAGCAATATCATAGCAAAATAAAAGTAAAGATTGTAACAAAACACGGCAATAAAAGGCTGGAACAACAACAGTAAAAGAGTGTTTATGTAATTCAAGTTAGGAAAAGTCTTGTAAGGATAAAATCCAGCAAACAGTCTGGACGATTGGAGCAGCAACAAGACAAAGATAACAGCTTGTTTACAGCTATGATACCGAGTTAAAACTGATGCATTCTTACTTAAGAGTAAACGCAGGGGATATTCATTGTAATGTCGTATCATCACTAATGTTCCAAGACTAATGATCTTCCACTTGCGTTGCATGATTCACAGGGACTAGGCTTGTTAACATTAGCAGCCACGCTAACATCTGACAGTGTTCATGACTTTCCAAACATCAAAGAAGCCATGTTAAGTGCTCCTTCTCAGTTTCAAGTAACATTGTTCTTCTTCTCTATATATCTAGTAGCATTTGGTCAAGGTGGGCACAAGCCCTGTGCTCTGGCATTTGGAGCTGATCAATTTGATGGACAAAATCCACAGGAGAGTAAAGCTAAAAGCTCATTTTTCAATTGGTGGTGCTTCTGCTCATCAGTTGGTATAGCCTTAACTCATGTCGTGATGGTCTACATCCAAGATAACCTCAGCTGGGCCCTTGGATTTGGAATCCCTTGTATCGTGATGACGACTGCCCTGCTTATTCTCTTGCTTGGAAGCAGAACTTACAGGTATAGTGTCAATGGGAAAGAGATAAATCCATTTATGAGAATTGGTCGGGTGATTCATAAAGCAATTAGAAACCGACACACAACTCCTCCTTCAGCTATGCCTGGTGAAGAAGATGCTTGCCAGTGGCATCAAAGTCACGAGCAATTCAAGTAAGAAAAATAATCTTGTTCTTTTTTTAAGAATTGAAATGAAGTGGAGGAGACATTACTTCAGCAAAAAGGAAGCTTTTACATTAAGATGAAGAGGATTTATTACTGATTTTTTGGTTCATGGAAAATTTATTTAATGAAACAACTCTTCAATTCTTCTCTTAATTAAAGTCTCTTTTAAGTTCTAACACAGCAGCTTCTGTTGTGGAAGGTTCCTCAACAAAGCGTTGCTTGCACCAGATGGTTCTGTAGAAGATCAAAATGTGTGCAGTGTCAGTGATGTAGAAGACACAAAAGCGTTGTTGAAACTTGTCCCAATATGGATCACAAGTTTGGCTTATGCAATTGCGTTTGCACAGACCTCAACTTTCTTCACAAAGCAAGGGGCTACGCTGGACAGAACAATTTTCTCAGACTTCAAAATTCCAGCTGCTTCACTTCAAACCTTCATTGGGTTTGCCATCATTCTGTTTATCCCAGTATACGACCGCATTGTTGTCCCTATAGCACGAGGTCTAACCCGGAAACCTTCTGGCATCACAATGCTTCAAAGAGTTGGAACAGGAATGGTTTTCTCAGCTATTTCCATGGTTACTGCAGCTCTTGTTGAAATGAAAAGACTTGAAACTGTCAAAGAGCATGGGCTGGTTGATCTTCCAAATGTGACAGTTCCGATGAGTATTTGGTGGCTGGTTCCTCAGAATATCCTATGGGGTGTTGCTGATGTGCTCACCGTTGTTGGGCTTCAAGAATTTTTCTATGATCAGGTCCCAAAGGAACTAAGGAGTGTGGGTCTCTCACTCTTCCTCAGTATCATGGGAGTAGGAAGCTTTTTAAGTAGCTTTCTTGTCTCTGTCATTGATGAAGCAACAAGTGGAGATGGTCAAGAGAGCTGGTTCGCCAACAATCTCAACAGGGCACACGTTGATTATTTCTACTGGCTGCTTGCTGGTCTTTGTGCAGTGGGATTCATAGCTTTCTTCTATTTTGCAAGATCATACATTTATAGCAGGGGAAACACAATTTAGATTTATTATTTTACCGTTATTGCCAAACTGTTTCAAGAAGGGCTTTTTATGTACAATTATATTATTCCGTTCTTGCTATTAATTAAATTTCCCCCTCTTAATGTATAAAATCTCTTTCCCATAATTTTTCTAATTTTTTCATTCTTTAATTTTTTTAGTTTCTTCTTCTCTCTTTCTTCTCAACTCACTCCAAATAAATTATATAAAAAAATAAAACTAAAATAGAATGTCATTTAAAGGAGTAAAACTCTGAATATAATCTCAATTATGTTTTTATAATTGATTTTAAACAACTAATACAAAGAGATGTATAAAAAATCCTAGGTACAAAAAGAAAGCCAAGCGGCCCAATAAAACTAGAATACTATTGAGTATCATTGTAAAACGTGTAAATAAATAATAATAATATAAAAAATTAAAAATTAAAAATTAAAAATTAAAAATTAAAAAAATAAAAATTAATATTTTATTTCAAATAAAATAAGTAACCAATTAAATGAATGAGGATTAAATTTGATAAATAAAAAAATTTAATAAAAAAATAATAAGAAAAAATAAATAATAATTATAAAAATAAGAACCAAAGTTAATATAAAAATTAAATTTTAAAAAATAAAATTAAAAAATAAATATTCAAAACAAAACATATATAACAATTAAAAATTTGAAAATCAAATTTGATATGATAAATAAATAATATGAAATTTTTAAATTTTTTAAAATTTTTAAAAAGTATTTTCCATCTAAATTTTTTAAAAAGATACTTTATTAAAAATTAATTTAAATTTTTTTTGAATAAAAAATATTTTTTTTTATAAATTATTTTTTAATAATAAATAAATATAAAAAACTTAAAAAATAATTTTACGAAAATCACTTTTAAAAAACAAATACAGCTTACGTGGAGAGGTGGAGATGGTAAAAGGGCAATACAAATCCTGCTCACTGCATCGAGAGCGTGGATACAGACCACAGATGGCCACCGAAACTCCGTTCAGATGGCACCACAGGTCGGCCGGTTTGTACATCCAAATCCAGTGGGTGGAATTCTGCTGTTTTTTCATCGCGGGTAACTTTACAATATTGATTGACATATAGTCACAGTTTGGAAACTTAATGGAAACCATAGTTTATTAAAAATTAATTTTTTTTTATATATTTTTATTGTTTTAATTCATTAATTTTAAAAATAAAAAATATTATTTTAATATACAGCAACATAAAAATTACTTTAAAACATACCCAAAGTCACCTAACTGACCAGTCAAATAATATGATTCTAATGTTCACTGTGTGATTGATTTCATCAGTCAATTAAAGCAGCTGACTGCAGACAATCTATGGGTGCCTTTTGAGGTGGTTTTTTCTTGTCTTTTATTTGTTTGGATAAGCAAGACCCGTTAAAGGGTTGCTTGCAATTGAGTTTCAGGTAATTTTTAAATAAATAAATTAATTCTTTTATTTTTTTATTTTTTTAATATATTAATATTAAATATATTTTTTTAAAAAATCAATACCACTGTATAAAAAATCCATTATTACAAAATCCCAATTTACAATTGTATCTCAAGTCCTTCGAAAAAGAAAGAATTTGAATCTAGATGAGCCCTTTTGTCGTGAAGAGAGCTGATAATTAATTATTACTTGAGGGTTGACTGCAAATAATTAAGAATTGTGGAGGAGGGTAAGTTTGCTGTACGAGTTTGACTTTAAATTCCGAGAAGTTTGAAAAGAAATAAGATGTAGAATATAATTATAAGAAGTCAAATTCAATAAAAACAAAAGTATTCATATTTAATTTTGACCCAATTCAATTTTTTTATTACATGACAATCAAAATTTCTTGATTTAATTTTAACCCATTCGAAATTTTTTTACCGGTATTTTTGATAACCACCACATAATAAATTGAATTTTGTTAAAAAAATGTTTTTTAAATTAGATTTTGATAACTATCTCATAATAAAAAAAAAATACTTTTGAAATTGATGCGCCAACATATAAATTATAAAAATTAAGAAGGGAAAAAAGCGGGGAGGATAGATTTTAGTCAGTAATAAGGAAGCAATATATGCTAGTTTTTTTTATCATTCAGTTTTTTAAAATAAATATTAGATATATTATTTTAAAAAGAAACACTAAGTTTATCGTGAAGGACAGTGGTGGGTCCCAATTTGCAATTATGGAAACTAAGAAACAAATGGCAGGATATGTGGGTCAACTGGCAATTTTTTTATCAGGTAAATAGTTAGCATTTGGCTTTGCTTATAAGCAGCTATCTAACTAGCTGACAATTTACTACACCTTGTCTCTCAAATATTTACTCGGACACAGGGAGTAATAGCATGCACTCCTACCCGTCTAATGGAAGCAGCAGAAGGCACTGTTAATGGCTCCGTCGACTACAAAGGCAACCCAGTTCACCGATCCACCTCAGGTGGCTGGAGATCAGCCTCTTTCATCATAGGTACGTCCGTGTATCAAGAATTTCATCATATGAACTGAAGCTTCTGATGAAACTTGGTAATTGAATATTGCAGTTCGTGTGTGTGTGTGTAGCTGTGGAAGTTGCAGAGAGGTTTGCATATTATGGGATATCTTCGAACCTTATAACGTACTTGACGGGTCCTCTTGGTCAGTCCACGGCCAGTGCCGCTGCCAATGTGAATACGTGGTCCGGCACGGCCACGTTGCTGCCTCTTTTAGGAGCCTTTGTTGCCGACTCTTTTCTTGGCCGGTACCGGACTATTATTGCCGCTTCTCTCATCTACATCTTGGTCAGCCTCCTCCCTCTCATCTCTCAGCTCTCCTATTTTCTTTTATCTAGTCTATGTAAATTTGACCGTTACTAATTTAAAATTGATTAAGATACGTTGATTATATGAAACTAAATATTTAAATAAATATATGAAATATCTTGTACAGTTATTGAATGATACGCCTGTTGTTTGTTGGTAGAATAGTGGTTGTTTTTTAAATTTTTTAATTAAAATAATATTTTATTTTATTTTTTAAAATTTATTTTTGAAATCAGCATATTAAAATAATATAAAAATTATTAATTTAAAATAATAAAAATAAAATTTTAAAAAATATTTTTAAAATAGAAAAGTAAAATATAATGAGGCCAGTAGATTTTCCATGCGTCTCATTTGTGTCTTTTGTCCATAAAGAGGTCAATGATGGCATGACGGGCGTCCACTTCCCTTATTCTCTCTCTTTTTTTTCGGCCGAGTAGACAGCGGTCTGACATGTCGTCACGAATGAGAATTTCATTCCATACGACCCGTAGGGTTTCAGATATCTCATTCCAATTATATTTTATTTTTATTTGAATTAATAAATAAATTAGATGAAATTTAGGTCTTGTATCATTTGGATCTGACTTACGGGCACTTAGATCATCATTTAATCGGACTCGGTATTTTTACTATTTTTTATATAATATATATAGTTATTATGAAGCTTATAAACCAAAAAGGAGCTAAAATTATACTTAAAAGTTAAGATAAAATAAAGAATAGAAAATGTAAAATATTCTATTTTAAAAGATAAATCAATGGAAAAAATTACTAAATTAAAACAGATAAAATTATTCTAAAATTTTTCCTATTCAATATATTATTAGGGATTTTTGTTTTTTTTTCTTATATAGAGATTTGTAATAAATTTATATGGATAAATACAATTAAATATTTTAAGAGTCTTTTCATAATAATAGAGTGTTATTGATTCTTGAGATTTTTTTTATGTGTAACCTGTGTTACTATTAAATCATTTCTTCCTTCGTAATGAGCTAGGGACCAGATTGCTCTTTTTCAAAGGACTAATCTTCAATGATGCTGGAGTGCTCAAACTTGACATTTGTTTTCATCCACGTCCCTGGAGCTCGAATAAATTCAAGGAGATGTTTTTATGGTCGTCTTATAACTGTTAAGTTCCTATACTAACCATAATCCACCTGAATTGGGTGATTCACAGGGACTAGGCTTGTTGACACTTGCAGCCAAGCTAACAACTGTTAACCTTCATGACTGTCGAAGCACCAAGGATGCTAGGTTATGTGCTCCTCCTCGGTTTCAAGTAATACTGTTCTTCTTCTCTGTATATCTAGTAGCAGTTGGTCAAGGCGGGCACAAGCCATGCGTTCAGGCATTTGGAGGTGATCAGTTTGATGGGCAAGATCCGAAGGAGAGTAAAGCAAAGAGCTCATTTTTCAATTGGTGGTATTTCGCCATATCAGTTGGCATCACCGTAACACTCATCGTGTTGGTCTACATCCAAGATAACCTCAGCTGGGCCCTGGGATTTGGAATCCCTTGTATTGTGTTGGTAGCTGCCCTGCTTGTTTTCTTGCTTGGAAGCAGAACTTACAGGTATAGTGCAAAAGAGAACGGGAATAATCCATTCATGAGAATTGGCCGAGTGATTGTTAGAGCGATTAGGAACCGGCACAACACTCCTTCGGCTATGCCTAGTGAAGAGGATGCTTGCCTGTGGGATCGATGTTCGGGACAATTCAAGTAAGAGGAATAAGTTTTTCTTTGATGACTAGAAAATGTATTGAATAGAACAAGCATTCAGCACCTCTCCATTTAAAGGCTGTTACGAGTTCTAACACAGCTAGCTGCTCCTATTTTAAAGGTTCCTCAACAAAGCGTTGCTTGCACCAGATGGTTCTGTAGAAGATCAAAATGTGTGCAGTGTCAGTGATGTAGAAGACACAAAAGCGTTGTTGAAACTTGTCCCAATATGGATCACAAGTTTGGCTTATGCAATTGCGTTTGCACAGACCTCAACTTTCTTCACAAAGCAAGGGGCTACGCTGGACAGAAAAATTGTCTCAGGCTTCAAAGTTCCAGCTGCTTCACTTCAAACCTTCATCGGGTTTGCCATCATGATCTCTATTCCAGTGTACGACCGCATTGTTGTCCCTATAGCACGAGGTCTCACCCGGAAACCTTCTGGCATCACAATGCTTCAAAGAATTGGAACCGGAATGGTTTTCTCTGCGATTTCCATGGTAACTGCAGCTCTTGTTGAAATGAAGAGACTTGAAACCGCCAAAGATCATGGGCTGGTGGATCTTCCAAAAGTGACAGTCCCAATGAGTATTTGGTGGATGGTTCCTCAGTATATCCTGTGCGGTGTTGCTGATGTGCTCACCATTGTTGGACTTCAAGAGTTTTGCTATGATCAGGTCCCAAAGGAACTAAGGAGTCTGGGTATCGCACTCTACCTCAGTATCTTTGGAATAGGAAGCTTTTTAAGCACCTTTCTTATCTCTACCATCAATAAAGCAACAAGTAGAGATGGTCAAGAGAGCTGGTTCGCTAACAATCTCAACAGGGCGCACCTTGATTATTTCTATTGGCTGCTTGCTGTTCTTAGTGCTTTGGGATTCTCTGCCTACTTGTACTTTGCTAGATCATACATTTATAACAGGGAAGGAGCAATTTAGATTTATTCTTTCGCCGTTACTGCCAATCGGTAAACAAAAAGAGATTTCGAAAAGATCATTGTTATTTAAAGGGAAAAGAAAGAATTGAAGATTCATCTGAGCTAGGTAGATTTTCCTTGCGTTGCAAGAACACTAAGCAGAATAAGTTGGAATCCTGTATTAAAATAATATTTTTTTAATTTTAAAAAATTATTCTTAATACCAGTATATTAAACAATTTAAAAAATAAAAAAATTTAATTTAAAATAAAAAAATTATTTAAAAAAAAACTTTTTTGAAATGCAAAAATAAATAAGATGTAAAATCCTATATCCCGTCCCAATATTTATTTTTATGTTCCATGCATATGATTATTTTTGGATTTATGGAGGTCAAATTTTTAAAGAGATTAAAGTTTCGGTGCATAAAACTCAACTTCCTCGAACAATCTACCAAGATGGAAAATCAAAACGGAGTCGCATAAGAATTGACTCTCACCAAGGTGTGGTGATCCTAAAAGGATGGCATTTATTATTAGCCAAAAGGTCATGGACTCATAATTTAATTCAAATAAAATTATTATTATGTCTGAAGGTTTTTTCTAACATATGTTAAGTTCGGTAAAAATAACATTGGACTATGTTTTATGATGATATATAGTATTTTAAATATAAAAATAACATTGGAGTAAGGTTTAGAAAATTGGAGTGTGAAGTGGTCTTAGTTTAATATTAAAATAGAAAACTGAATTTGAAAATAAGGTATGAAGGAAAAACATCATTCTCTCCCTCCCTCTCTAAAAGGATCTAAAATTATTTTTCAAATAATATTTTAACTTTTTTATACTAATATTGGCATTTATTTTATAGATAATAGTAAATGAACCTGATTTGCATAATTAAGAACTATTGAAATTAAAAATAATTCGACTCACTAATATTTAATAATAAGAGTAAAAAATTTATAATATTTTTTCATCTTTTAAGAAAATTTTGAAATTTAATTATTGGTTTATTTTTCTCATATAACTTATAAAAATAAATTGATTAAAGAATACTTTTTCTTTCTTTCTCTTTTTTTTTTATTGAAACCTCTCTTAAAATTATAATAATTTATTATTAAAAAAATCAAAGTATTAAGACAAATCAAACATGTTTGTTTTAAGCATAGTTTAGAAACTGGACCCGGCCTGATAAGTTAATCCAGAACTCAGCCAGCTTGGGGTTGGAATTGAGTCAGATTAAAAAAAATAAAGGAAAGAAAAATCGGGTGTGACCTGGCTGACTTAACAAAACTCGGTTTAATTTTTTTTTTTATTAAAATAATGTTGTTTTGATTTAAAAAAATTAATTTAAGTAATTCAATAATTCAGTCAAAACCTAGAATTCAAGCATTAAACCTGACTGAATTTAAAAAAGTATGGTTTTAAAAATTTAATTCGTAAACATATATATCAAATTTCAAAGAAAAAGTATACAATTACGTAGAGTCACCAGAGTTTCGACTTAATTAGGATTCCATTTCACTATCTTAGCGATGGTTCCCTAATGACACATTGTAAAACCGTAAATCTAAGAACATACCGAAAATATGAATAATTAAACACATAATTACGAGAAAAATGTAAGAAAAAAAGTGATAGTCTTATTACCTTTAATTTTTAGTCATGAAAACACAGCACCAGCATCATGTGCTACTGTTGTTAAAAATCTATTAAAACATGCATTTATCTATCTGGAAAAAATATACAAAACAACTATTAGATTGAAAATACAAAAGAAAAAAAGAAAACATATGCACAAGTAGTAACTTTATATTTATCACTTAATTAAAAGTTAAATAGATCCTTAACTTGCTAACCCAAATCTATAAGCAAGTTTCGGATTATAGTTGTCAACCTAGTCCAGAATCCAATCTAAAAAGGTCTAAGTCACTTGGTTTTTTAATCAATTCTGGACAAATATAACGTCTTGTTTCGTAATTGCAATATAACAATGTTATTTTACTATTTTGTTTTTCAAACTGTATTATTTTACTTATTATTTAAAAAAAAAACCGTACTAATAGGCAGAGATATCTGTAGTTGCCTTGGAACAAAAGCAACATTTCCCTTGGTTTCGGTTGGACATTAGCTTTTTATTGCAGTGATGTTTGTTTTTTAAAAAATAATTTTTTATATTTAATTGTTATTTAAAAAATTAATTAATAAAAAATACTTGCTGATTAATAAAAAATACTTCTCAGTTAATGAAAAATATTTTCTAGTTAATGAAAAATACTTTTCAGTCAAAAAAAATTTAACTTAGTTTTTAGAAAAGTATTTTTTTTACTGTGCTTGTTTTCCGAAAAATAGTTTTTGAGAAATCACTTTCTAAAGTTTCTTGTATTTATTTGTTGTTAGGAAAGTTGATCAACAAAAAACACTTTTTAGTCAAAGGAAAATTTACCTTGGTTTTCAGGAAAGTGTTTTCCTGAAAAATTTAGGCGGAAAATACTTTCTGGAAGTTGTGAAAAATTTAGAAATGTTATTATTTGCTGATTATATCAAATTGATCTTTAAACTTTTGATTGCTATATATATATATATATATATATATATATTATTTTGAATATTTATTTTTTAATTTCATCTCTTAAAATTTAATTTTTATATTAACTTTGGTCCTTATTTTTATAATTGCTATTTGTTTTTTTCTTATCATTTTTTTATTGAATTTTTTTTTATCTATCAAATTTGGTCCTCATTCTTTTGATTATTACTTATTTTATTTGAAATAATTTATGAAATATTGATTATTATTATTTTAATTTCTTCATCTTTTATTTTTTAATCGTTTAGATTTGATATCTATTATTTTGATTATTATTTATTTTATTTGAGTTAATTTATGAAATTATATTTTTTTCAATTTCATTCTCATTCAACTATTTAATTTGTAAGATTTATTTCTTATTATTTTAATAAACTTGAGAAAAATAAAATATTAATGAGTTATTTTCCAGCTCATTTTTCATGATATGACCAAATACTAAAAACTATTTTTCAACTTATTTTTCATTACACTATCAAATATCAAAAAATAATTTATTTTTTTAAAATTCACTTTAAAAAAAATTACTTTCTAATAAATAAACATGGTTTTATATCACGTCAATACTATGTTCATTGTGGGTTTTACTTCAAGGAGGAGGATTACGTGAGTGAGCTTTTTTCAGTTTTGAGATCTCTTTAAAGATAACCTTTTATTTGCCTCAAAAGCTCAAAAAAAAAAAAAAACCATCCAGATGCTCATCTCCTATATTTATCACATCGCCATAATCTCCAAAAACAGAGAAATTGTTGCAAGAAGAATATCGCATGTTGGTTGTCATGGATAGAACATATAGCAAAAAAAGAAAGAAAAAAAAAAAACGAGGCCATCTTGCTATATATTCCCTTGCCTCGCATGAGGCTTACTCCAGCTCGCTGCCAATGTATGATAATTGCATCTAGCTGTCTAAACTCTAGCACTCCTTTTACAGGGAAAAGAAACGCGTAGAGAGATTAGAAAAGTAGGGCATGGTTATAAGACTTTACAAACTGTTCTTCATCATGATGTGAATTAGACTTTCTATTTTTTAGTAAAGAACCCGAGACTCGGAATCAAATATCCACTTGAAGCCGTAGGTCCATATCATTGTTAATCCCAGCCAAAAAAAAAAACAGGAGGAAGAAAAGAGATGATGAAACGCATGAGCAGTGAGTGCCATCTGCATTTAGAGAGGGAAACAGAGAGAGTATATGTTACCACTTTCTAAAAAGCATAAAGCAGAAGAAAATGGGGGTGCATTAATCTGGAGAAGAGAGGAAAGGTGGCAAAACACCAACATGGCTATGCAAAATATATATATATAAAGGGCAACGCCCATGTGGGTGGGTCTAGGTCGGGCCTGCATATCCAAATTATATTTATTTATTTATTTTAGGTAATGATATGTTGTTTTCCTTCTTTTTTTTAAAAAAAAAAACAAGCAATACGTTGCTAACTAACTAAAATTTATTAACATGACCGTTTTAATTAATGAAATTTTGACAACCAATAATTTTATCTATTTTGTATTGTTTTTATATTACTTTCTCTCTCCTCTCTCTAACATAGAATTGGAAATGAATAAAATAAAGTTTTTGGGAAAAAGTGAAAATTATTACGAATTTGGATTAAATTATATATTTTCTCCATAATTTACTTTTTAATCTTTTATTTTTTTATTTTATAATTTTTTTATAATTTAAATCTGATTCAATCGAAATATGCCAGAAAATTATTAAATTGAATGAAAAAATAGTTAGAAAACGGGGAAAAAAAAGTTAAGGTGCTTCGATTTTCATTTAGCATAACTAAAAAATTTGCAAAATAATTAATGTTTTCCAAATCTACCCATTATCTGTTTGGCCATATATATATCTTAGATGCATCAAATTTATGTTTCTATAGTCATTCAATGAAGGTTGTTTGTTATTCTTGCTCGTTGTTTGGAGATATAAATTACAAAACTATGTGAGAGTATGGTCTTCAAGCATTTCATTTGTTGTTTGCATGAGGTTGGTAACAACTGCTATTCGATACGGCTTTAAGATGCTTTATTGATTTCAAAAGGTTGTTGATTCCTAGTTGCATAATTTAGAGAAAAGAAATCTTGAATGTTGTAGTGGGGGAACTCCTTACTTTTCCATGTAAAATGACTTATGATTATACTTGTCACGACCCGAATCCGGGGTCTATGACCGGCAACGCAGAAGTAATGTCGAAAGGACACTCCACCTACGATTCTGTATACCTAGCTAGTGAGAGAGGCATCAGCCTGTGGCGACTGATCATCCCACAGTGGTCACCTTTGGGTGCCATCTAGTCACTTTTGAGTGTCATCTGGTCACCTTCAAGTGCCATCTGATCTTTGACATGTACTCTACTACGTTATGATGATATGTTTAGTATGTATATATATATATATGTATATCAAGATAAATCATCTTACAAACTATTAATATGAAAAATATCTCAAATGTATATTAAATATTATTCCCTCACTGAGTTGGTTGAACTCACCCCTCATTCTTAATATTATTTCAGGTTCTTAGTTTCTAATAGCAGTTGGACTTTGTTGAGTGTTCCTGCTTTTTTAGTTTTGGGTTGGTATGCCTTGCTTATTGTTCGAGGCTATTTTGATTTGATGTCTTAGACACTCCACTATTACTCTGTTTTAATTAAATTTAGATTTTGACAATGTAATGAGTATTATAAATCGATATATTCAAACTCTTGAGCGTCAATGCAGCCATCGTCTTCTATGAGAAGCTTTAATAATTGTGCTATTAGAATTCTTAGCCAGAGAATAATCAGGCACGCTCGAGTTTTGAGTTTACGACAGCATGTCATGTCCCAACCAAAGCAAGTGCGCCTGTAACAAGTGTGGTGGGGTGCGGTGGAAAATGTAATAATAATTATTTTAGAAATAATTTTTGTTTGAAAATATATTAAAATAATATTTTTTAATTTTAAAAAATTATTTTTGATATTAATATATTAAATAATTTAAAAATATTAAAAAAATATTAATTTGATTTTTTAATGATTTTCAAGTGCATGTACTTATTAATGGGCCATTTATCTCTTTGAAAGCTTGAATCCTTTATGGAATGTTTTTATTAATTATTTTTTTTTGGAATTTCATGTTCAAAAAAACAAAATATCATAAAAATAAAAATAAATTAATTTTTAAAAAAAGTATTTTTGAAGCCGAAATACAAACAATCATTTCATTCTATCAATATTTTAGCAATTTGAACCATCTAGGTGATATTAAAAAATATTAATTTATTTTTTAATGATTTTCAAGTGCGTGTACTCATTAAAGGGCCATTTATCTCTTTGAAAGCTTGTATCCTTTATGGAATGTTTTTATTGATTTTTTTTTTTTTGGAATTTCATGTTCCAAAAAACAAAATATCATAAAAATAAAAATAAATTAATTTAAAAAAAAAAAAGTATTTTTGAAGCAGAAATACAAACAATCATTTCATCCTATCAATATTTTAGCAATTTGAATTGCTATCTTTTTTTGTTCATGATTTCCAAGTGCATGCACTCAAATAATGGGCCATTTATCTCTTTGAAAGCTTTGAATCCCACATAAAATGTTTTTATCTTGTTTTTTTTTTGGAATTTCATGGTCACAACAAACAAAATACCATAAGTGAATAGAATTTGAACTTGTATACGAAGTCACGGGCTCTTGCCCTTTTATCTATCTATAGAGTTCGAAGCACAAAAAAGTTACACTCAAATCAGAATCAAATTTCATTTTGTTCAAAATAAAATATGATTGTATTCGGGGTGTGTACGCGTGTGTATATGTGTGCGTGTGTGTGTGTGAGCCTCTATGTATATTTCCGTTGTCTTATTGTTGTCAAGTCCCTTTTGTAGCATTCAAGGAATTCAAGGGCGGGTGAAAGAAAAAAAAGTTATTCTTCGAGAAATTGGTGGGTATCTCCTTGATCTCTAATATAATGGCTATCTTCTGATCTCTACTATAATTTCTCATCATAAATGGAGGAAAAAACATGGTTTCTCTCCCATATTTCCAGCTCTCTCCTTTGTTCTTATAAACCAAAAGAAAACCGAAGTCAATGAATAGTTGTGGTTATTAGAATTAAGAAGGGAAATTGAATAGAACTTTCACTTTAATATTATTAATTTTTATTTGATTAACGGAGATAAACAGTTATTAAGGCAACAATGGAGAAGAAGCTGGACCTCGGCTCTTTTCTTCTTTTTTTGGGTAATTAGGGAACAAAAGCAAGGTCTAAGGCCCTAGGAACGACACCCTAAGCATCACCAATTGAAGACCTTCATGTCTTTATCTCTAATATCAACACCACTAACTACACGAGTCTCTCTATGGGTTAATGGCAGCCCGGTCTCCGACATGCCGCAGAATCCATCACGGAAAATAAGTCGAAGCTTTGTGTATAGCTTTCCAAACCGGAGAAGAAGAACAAGGAAGAGACAGGACAGTTTATTAGAACCTATGATATACTTCTGTCACACTTACAATCCAAGGCAAAGCATCACCTTGTAAGAGCTTCCAGGCTAGATTACCGAGCATTACGATATTACTACATCTAGCCATTTTACCTCCATACTGTTTAGGAAAGTTGAAATCCTATCCATCTCATCACAAACAAAGGATGGAAACCAACAAATCTTCCAATCTGTGATTAACATTATAATATGCTTAAAAGTCAACTTGATATGCCTCGCATGGAGTGGCAGACCAAGATAAAGTTTCAAATCCAGAGTGGAAAAAAGCCAAAGACGCCGCCTTCTATGCTCTTATGCCGTCTTCAAGTATGCGAAGAAAGATAAGCCCGAGACTTTTGTTCATAAACAGCCATACCTGGACAAGCAAAAACTGTCCTATAGAATCTTTGACAACCCGAAAATGATTAATGTTGGCATGCGAAATAAAACATCATCCTCAGCAAACAATAAATGGGAAAAACTCGGAGCACCTCTACCGATTGAAACCGATTTCTTTAACTCAGTTAGCTACTTTCGTATCTATCAGCAAGGAGGGCTTTGTAGTACGAAGGACAGATAGTATCAAGACCCCTTGTAGGAGAAGAAGCTGGAAGACGAGTACCATTCCAACAAGCCAAATAACAACAGAACTGTAAATACTGAGAAATCTTACCATATCATGCTCGAGGAGCCTGTTTTAATCCATAAAGCGTCTTCTTGAGTTTGCACATGTAATCTGAATGGATACTTGAAATTTACCCTGAAGATTTATACATATAAATATTATCATTTTCAAGCTCTCCGTCAAGGAAAGCACTTTTTATATCAAGCGCTGCCATATGTTCTGAGTTTCTAACCACAAGAGGCTGCCGTAGGTCGCACTAACTGAACAAAAGTCATTTTAGCCACGGAACTAAAAGTCTTTTCATAATCTTCACCATACTTTTAAGAAAAACCATGGGCGATTAGCCCCTGCTTTGAACCTCCCTGCACTTAAGTTAGTTTTTTAAAATAAAAAATCTTGTACACCCATTTGCAAGACACAGAATATACTTCTTTAGGTTTTGGCACAACGTCCCATTTTTCATTCCTTTCCGTCTCTTCATCCATGGCTTCTGCTAATGTTTTAAATCTCTAAATTTCTTTAAAGCAAGATGGCTCCTCATCACCAATTGGTCCTACAAAGGAACAAGAATAAGTAATCATGTAGTTATCATCTCTGTAACGGGCTTGGTTTACAGTTGTTCTCCTTGGACGTTGATTTAGTTGCAATGTAATTATATCCTCATCATCAATCCCCATTTCACCTTGTTCCTCCTATTAAAGGAAAACACAACTAGATGCTATTTTCATTGGACCATTAAAATATATAATAAAGTTTGTCATGGTTGATTTATCATTGTCAGGCACAGCTCTATTAGAACCCTAATAGGATGAAACTTCATCAAAAACTTATCTTGATACAATGTCCGATTAATGATCCATGGATCGCCATCCCTTAAACATTGTACTTATTCGATTTATCTGGATAAAATGTACTCCATGCTTCGTTTCCCCCTTCACTTTGAATTTCTTTTGTTCTGCTAACAAACCATTTTCTTCGTGATGAATACTCTTGCCATATGCATGGCTAAGGACTTTTGACAACACAGAAGACTTTCAAACTCTTTCATGTGTCCTGATCCAATTTTTACCCTCTTTAGAAATTAAAAAAAAAATGCAAATAAGTATTTTTCAGACGAAATTGGACAATTTTATATATATATATATATATATAAAAGGACAATTGTTGAAAAATAAAAAATAAAAACAAAAAATCACAAAATAATCAAAAAGAAAAAATATATATATCAAGGATAAAATTGGACAAATAATGAGGTGTTATTAATTCAATCAGGGCTTAATTAGAAAAAAAATATATAAAATTTAGAGTAAATTTAATCAAAAATAAAAGAATTAAAGAAGCAAGGGCCCACGATGAAAATGCACTAAAAATAAGAATTTAATTGTAAAAAAATTAAATAACATTTAAAACTAATTTGACAAAAAGTAAAAAGGTGAAATGATGTTAAAATTAAGAGGGTCTCGTTAATTCAATCAAGGTGTAAATGAAGTGGAATTTGAGATTGAGAATTAATTTGGCTAAAATCGCACAAATTATAGAACCAAGAGCTACACTACAAAACGCCTCAAAAAACACATAGCAAATTAAGTTGGATCAAAGGTGAGATTAAAAATAATTTTGAATGTAGAGTCGAATCGAAAATTTATGCAACCAAAGACTAAAATTGAGAAGGAGCAGAAGTTCTAGGACCAAAAGTAAATGGTCCACAACACTGTCGTTTTATTTGATTGTAAACCATAATTAAGCAAAGGAAAGAAATGATGCGTCATTTAATTCATTCTTCAACCTCAGGTTTCTGGGTTTCTGGCTAGCGTGAGAGGGGACCTTGGCCTTTTCTTCCTCTTTGTTTTGCCCTTATCATGATAAAAGACATGATCTCCCTTCGGCCTTGACTTTGCACCTCCGTTCCAACCCTTTTCCAATTTGCCTTTGGCTCTTAAATGCCCTGCCACACCAGCCAAAGACATTATTAAAGCAGGCGATCAAAACCTACAACATACAATAGCATATCAATGCTCTTTATGTTAGGCTTGTAGGAGGGATAAGATAAGAATCAATTTGAATTAAGGGCCAAATCAATAGCCCCCGTAACTCACACTTGATAGGAGAACAAAAGAAAAGGGAGGAAAGAACAAAAGACAAAAAAAAAAAATATTGAGTAGAAACAAAGAAAAGGAGAGAAGAAAAAGGAAAAGATATAAAAGAGTGGAGAAATAAAAAGAAAAAAAAAAGAAAATTCATGTAAAAAAGTTAACAAATAACTTTCATTTTCTGCAATTATTGTAGCTTTATCAGAACAATTATTTTGAACATCTTTAAAATAATCATGTACAGACATGTTTAGAATGCCTGAAAAGTAGCTTAATTAACACAACCTATATTGATCAATTTTCTATATTTATTCATTAGGTTAAGAGAGTTTTAATATAATAGTAGCATCTTAAGAGAATGGCAATGACTCTAGAAAGTCTCAATAACACCTTAAATTAGAGGTAGTAGCTTAGAAAGTGTCAATAATACCTTAAATTAGAGGTAGTAGCTTAGTTTTTCATAATATTTATAGAACAATATCAATAGCAATTACAACAATACCAATGTTATTTTATATTTTTTTTCTCATATTAAATGTCACACCTGAACATCACGGCTATCTACCTTCTTTTTTTAAATTTAAAGAAATGAGTTTTTTTGGTGTTTTCACTGTTTTAAGATGAGAAAGGGTCTAATTTTTATAAATAAGTCGTCATGTAATATTATAGTTATTAGAAATCTTAGCCAGGTAAAAACGATTTATGTTAGGGGACTAATTATACTGGAGAGAAAAATTATCAACTTAAAATATCCTACTTGAGGTAAATTATATAATTGGTCTTATTCTAAATTATTAATAGTTTGTTGTGTCTAATCTACTGATGGTTTATATACAAAGTGATAGCAGATTTATTACGGTAAATTATATCCTTATTAATGATCCAAATCTAGTCATCCTAAAAAAGTTTCATAGAAACTGAGATTCTCCTATCCTTTAATATCTTGATACTTTTAATTTTAATTTCAATGAATATTCGACTAAAAATAATATTATTAATTCTAATATTAGTGATATTAAATTAAAAAATAGTATTTTTAATCCTAATATTTGTGAATATTACATGATAATATTTTAATATTCTTGATTTTGGTGTTTAAATGTGTTAAAGTGAGAAATTTTTTATTGAATGAGAAATCTAAGGAATCTATTTCTCAGGTAACGACTCATTGTGACCCTAAACATAAAAGTAAATAGAAAAATAATTTTTTTTAATCAAGTTCTAAGAAAAGCAAGTTAGTTTTTCATTTTTATATTTTTAAAGATTTTGAGAATATTGATCCAATGAACCTTTTACCTTAGGTCAAGTTTTCACAAAGTGTATATGGTTCTTTACATCTAAAAAAAATTTCTTACCTAAGCAAAGTGCAGGTTAATGGACTAATACGTGTGTATTAACCTATTATACTAAATTTTTTTATAACATTATTTATTTTCTTTTTTTTTTTATTTAGTCTTTCTTTTTTTATTTCCCTTGTTTTTCTTTCCATTCTTAGATTTATTTATTTTTTACAATCGTTTGGGTTGCTTTTAAACTGGCCAATAAATTATATTAAAAAAACTTTTATATTATTTAATTTTAAACCCGAATTAGACACATAGTTAGACAAGAGGGTTTTTTTTATTAATTGTATCTTCAAACTTATTTTACTAGTCGATTGGGTTGTCTTTAAACTAATTAAATGGACTGGAACACTTTACAGCAACTCCCACACAATTTAATTTTAAACTCAATCTAGAAAATAAGTTAGGTTTGTATTTATTTTATTTTTTTACTATTTTCATCATTCTTTTCTTGATTTCATTCTCGTGTTTTTTTTTTATCGATCAGTCATATTAACTTTAAATTAGTTAAGTTAACTAGGTCATGTCAGACAAATTCTCACACAATTTAATTTTAAATTTGAACTAAAAAAGAAGGGAGAAAGAGAAATTTCAGGATTAACTTCATACACTAGATTTAATAACAATGATGAATAATTCTTTAAAATCTAAATATTTTTGTGGATGCTAAACGAAAATTGATTTTAACATAGCCGGGCATGTAAACTAATTTATTACTAACCCCCCAATGATCATACAATTAATACGATAATCAAGTTATTTGACTGGATCAAGTTTAATGACATTATCTTACAAGGACTTTTTTAACATAATGTCTCTCTTGTTATTTCTTTTCTTTCCTTTTTGGGTTCGTACGCAGAGATTCTTATAAATTAATTTGCGAGCAGCCTCTCTCGTTTTCGCTAAGTGCTTGATCTATCCTTTCCCCGACAAATCTTACCCCACACGTAACCTTCGTTTTTGCTGAATTTCCTTGCAAAAACAAAGTAAATTCATTTGCATTTTAAAACTCAAATAAGAGGAAACAGACGGAAAATAAAGAAACCAGCCAACAGCTTTGGCTTGCTTTTACAAGCAACCAAAAAATAAAATAAAATAAAAAATGACTGGCTCTTTGGACCCAGTCTTGAATCTTCTTCTCCTCCGTCCTTTCTATTCTTTTATGTTTCCCATTTGCCATCCGTGGTGCTTTATATATATGAAGAACTAATGGTATTTATAAATTAAATTAAGTGGAGGTTAATTTTTAAAGTGTTTTTTACTTGAAAATATATTAATATATTTTAAAAATTTTATTTTTATTTTTATTTTTAATATCAATATATCAAAACAATTTAAAAAAAATTAATTTTAAATAAAAAAAATTATTCTTTTATGAAACATTGTTTAGGTAAATATTTTAATAAGGTGCAACCTATCATAATTCATTTATTATTTTATAAGGCACAGTTATAATAAGAAATCACTCTTCTTTATGATTTTAATAGTGTAATCAAGTTGTTTGAGAAATTATTGAGGATGCTCAAGAATGGTATCAAAATTACCCCAAAACATAAGAAAAGTAAATATATACTTTTTTATGGGAGAAGCTCGATTTTAATAATATTTTTTATATAGAAATAATATTAAATAAAAGAATTTATGATACTCAAACTATAGTTATCCATATATAATAGAAATAAATATAAAAGAAAAAAGAGAAAATCACATCTTTAGCTATTATCTATTTAGAGAATTTTTTTATTTTTTGTATTTTTAT